AGATGTGTATTATAATGTAGGCCTATGTGCTTTCTTCTGTGATTTGTTGCCTTTAGTGGCCTTCCTGCTTTAGGCCTACATTTATTATTAAAAACAACAAAAAAAACACAATCACACACAACGCCGAGACGATGGAGCTGGCGGCGAAAGTGGCGCGGGACGAAAATGTGCAGTTCTCTGAAGATCTACCGTAATTCCCATAGTAACCGTTTAAATGAATTATCTAATACAAAACAAAAACTGTAACTTTGTAAGATTAGCAACCAAACCTCACAGGGATTCTACGACTGGCCCACTGGTCCGATTTTGATGATGCCCTGTGATCATAAAAATACAGATCATGTTTGAATTAATCTTGTCCAAGACCGTGAGCGTTTTTTTCCCCTCCAAAATTGGTGATTTTTCCTTTCGTGATGGGTGCCACAGAACACCTTCGTATAAATCTGTAAGTTCCACCATAGAGCAAAGAATGCTCTATGGTTCCACAGAACACAAAACAACCGGAAAATGGATGTGTCGGGAAAAAATTCGTCCAATTTCGACAAAAACCATGAGCTATACCTTTTGCGTTTTTACCAAAATTGGGTTATTTTTTTCACCTAACTAATCATTTTACATTATGGTATCCAAGGATCATGAAGATGCCGATATGTTTGAATTAGCCTTAAGATAATTTTTATAGCTTTTAATAGTGTGAATTATATAATTAGGCTATTTTTCACCTAGTCGTAATGAGTTGCGTATCTGGAAGTCTTGAAATGGGGGTGCTGATGGGGACGTGAATGTGAAGGGTGTAAAGGGTTGGGGGGATCGATGATAAGTTGAGAGGAGCCAATTCGCAAAATAAGGTGATTTTAGGTGATTGTTAACTACTTGGCCGTGATTTGAAACTCGTGGGGGGGGGGGGCGTGAGAAATTTTTGGAGGGGAGTGCGCTCCCCCCTCTTGTGTACCCCCTAGATATACTACTAGTCGTATTTCGGTGATTCTTCCATTTCATTCCATTAGGGTCCGTATTCGAGACCACCGTTGGTAACCTGAATATTCGGGGTAATCTACGGGTTCGTTCCCCCATTAGGGTTAGCTTTTTTCAAACGGAGACTAGGAGGCACACAAAAATCATAGAATTCAGTACGATATAAATAGTTTTTCCAGTACCAGTAGCGTAACGCTGAGACTGGGGGACCAGTGGCTTTCTGAGACTGGGTCAGTGATGGATCCAGGACTTTTACAAATTGAGGGTGTATACTACCTTATCCACACCTTGGTTGAGGCTGAGGAAAGATAATTTATGATTGTGACACTCGAAATGGCACACACAGGCACTGGAAATGGCACTCACATACATTACCATCCGTCACTGGATATAGTATGTCCGACAGTCGATGTCAGAGACACATTATGCTGTTATATATCAACAAAGCTCTTTTTGGTCATGGTGCAAGATCGTGGACCCTGTGTGGGTGTCCATTCTGGGCCCCTGGGGTCGGGGGCCCTGCGGACCGCTGCACGAGAGAGCAGGTGTTGCGCGACTAACGAGTAAATATAAGTACTGTAAATCTAAATTAAAAAGACAGATTTAATTTATGGTTTGTAGAGAACAATAAATTTCTATTACCTTTAACCTTTATTATTACAACCTACAAATTTCACTGACTTGTTTACAAACTCACCTTCGTACAGCCTTATCAGTGATTTTTATTGGCAGGGGCTATTGTTACACCAACCTTAATAAATTCCTAATTATGATTGGATATTTTTGTTTTAATCAACACCATAGGCTCCAATCAGAATTCGGAATTTGTTGAAGACGGCTGTAACAATAACCACTGCCTTTATACAGTGTTTACGAAATAATCCATAACAATAATAATGCTATAAAATTTAATAACGCGCGCCTATTAAATTTGAAACACAACCACCACTGTCCGATATAGAGGGAAATGGACGGAAACATTATTACGTGACATCAGTTATTTTATACAAATATATTCTTTATTAAAACTTTAAGGAATGCGTAAAAGAAAAAACCCCGATGAAAATAATTGCTTGATTGTGAGGCAAACTAACGTCTCATATAAATGAGTTCTTATTTATACCTATAGGTTCACCCGAAAGATATAAATTAAGGGTAGTGATACAATATAAGCTTATGTTAAATTTTTAATGGTTAAAGTATTTGAAAAATAGGCCTATATTTCTATGAAAGTAAAGAGTAATATTACAACACGATTCTGTTACTTGTACTGTTCTATCCAACTCATTTTCTGCATGCTGTATAACCAACCCTATTTGTAAATTGTAATGCAAATTCAACAACACCAGGTGGTGGATAATCTTTGCAAAACAATCGTGCAGTGACAAATAGTAAGATATGATATCCAACTGTTTGGAATACTTGGATACACCAACAATTAA